GGCCGATGGCCGCTCGAAGATAGACTTTGATTCCGTCTACAAATTCTTTATTATCGCCGATCGAAAGAGGCAAAAGTGCTGCTTGAACACTGTTTATCGCAGTCGAGCAGATGGTGAGGCGGGCCGTAATTTGCGTCGTCCGTCGCTTTTCGGCTTCCATCACGATTTACAGCTCCGGAGGAAACTCCATTGCTGATGTCGAAGCTGTGCCTTTGGGAGCTAGCACAGCGAATTTTCTTGCAGATGTTTCTGCGTGTTCTATCATCTTCTCTCGGACGACTTCCTTTCCTTTCCTTGAGTTGCTTGCCTCTGGGGTAAGCTCGATGGGGGTATGGGTCTCGGGACCAATTTTTCCTAACCTGACGGGCTCAGAATCAGTCATCACTTTGACGGGAAGGTTTGGAGACTTCTCTTCGATGAAGGCCTCACTCACAAACATGCTTGAAAGTTTTTGAGCGAGGCCTGGTGTTTTTGCGGGAGCCCTCGGGCGGACTCTCGCAATGTCCAACGTTGCGTTGGGGAGATTTTTTCGAACAGCTGGCATGGTAAAAATACCAGCGACTCGATCACAATTTAATGGAGGAATGCGACGAGCGCGAGAGGGAGGGAGAGGGGGAAAAGGGGAAGTCTCTAAAATTGGAATTTCAAAAAATTGTGGTTGTTTTGTGAACTAGCACGATATTAGATTAGAAAAAAGATAAAACATCATCATTTGCTCAAAAACGGCACCACGTTCCACGAACGTTATTTCATCGTTTTACTTATTGCTACCATCTTATTCGGAACATCTCATCTGATTCCCATAATTTTTTTCGTTGCGCCTAGGCTTGGCGAGTTGGGGGACTGGGAAGGTGGATTTCAAGGCTGGAAAATTTTCCACGGCACCACCAAAACCACCAACGGATAGCGGAACAGCCGCAATAATGCTTGTAGAATCTCTCGCGACATCTACAGGCATGAAACTGGATAAATTGAAAACAATCGCTTACTACTTAAGTAAGGTTAGAGACAGACTGGTGATTGCAGGAACTGACGGATCTGCGACACCGATGGTCGAGATAGATGAGGCACTCAACGCCTTCATAGCCCACGCCAATATGCTCCGATCAAAGCTGACGGCTAACCCTATGGAAGAACGAATGTTGGCCTTAGAGAAAGCCGTAAAGGAGAGTTTCGGAAAGCCGGTCTGCAAGACTGCACCATAACCAGCGCAAACTATGGGAGGACAACCCACGTACGCCTCGATCGTCGTACCGCCAGCAACCAAAGCGGGAGTACGGATTCGAGTAGAAGGGGCAAACAATATGCAGCCGACAGAGCTGCTCAACAAGGCAAAGCCACACATAAATGGGGCATACGCCGTGAGGCAACTAAGGAGCATCGACCGAGGTGTTCGTGCAGTCGGTCTCCCAGCGAGACGCTGCCTTGTGGATAGCGCAGCCCAAGGAGTTCTGCGTCCTAAAGCAGGATTACCCTGTTGAAATCTTGGGAGTCCCGCTGGGGACAATAATTCACGGAGGAAAGAATGCCAACGACAGCGTGGCAATATTTAAAATGACGACGGAGACAAAAGCACGGATTCCAGGCATACAAATCAACAGGGTGAGGTGGCTCTATGATGGTAAGGAACACACCTGGGCGAAGGAAAATGGCCATACTCGAGGGTCAGTTATTGCGATCTTAGCGACCGAGGCCCTACAACGCGAAGTGATCCGGAATGGCATTGTAATGGACTCAATGCTATACACGGCCCAGATCTGGTCACCCCGGGCACAAGTCAAGCAGTGCTTTAACTGCAGCCAATGGGGGAATACCCAAGCTTCCTGCAATAATGCAAGGAAATGTGGAGGGTGTGCGGGCACCCATCAGACCAGGGACTGCCGGAAGAAGTCGATACTTTGCTGCAACTGTGGCAAGGCTCACTTATCGTGGCAGAAGGGGGCGTGTCAAAACTTCGCGTCATACAAGGCCAATGTCCAGCGGGCACGGTATGGACTCATGGAGAGAACGGCCGAACTAAGAAGGGAGAGCGAAAGACAAACGGAGTTACCTCAATCAAGGACTGTAAACATGCCAGACGACCATGGGTTTACGCTAGTGTCCAACCAAAAGTCAGAAGGCGCCAAGAGAGGGCCAGGACGCCCGTGAAAACAAGTACTGGTCCCAGCCCCAACACAACAACTATTTGCGCCATCGGGGTCGAACTCAAGACCACAGTCATCGCTTTTCCGCACGCGAGGGTAGGATAAGGATGACGAGGTTTACTTTAGCTAGTTCTGTCTCGGACTGAAGGCCATTTGCACTTACTGTAGGTAACGAAGGACTGCAGATATATAAAACATTATAGGGGGAGGGGTTTTTATCGTAATGGTTTCCCCCTCATGTAAATATTAGAGTTCGTAGATACCTGCATGGGCCCATAGGGCGCCAAATCGGGCTAAATGAGATCAAATTCAATATAATAAAAAAAATAAAAAAAACACAATCTGAAATATCCTCCTTCAAGAAGATTCTCTCTGTGAATTGATTGACTCGGAATCCTTGACAACAACCTAATAGATTCTTGATACTCCTATCATCCTCATGAATCTTCAATATGTTTCTAGAGGGCTACTGAGAATATTCCAAGCTCACTGCCATCCAAGATCTACCCAGGAGGTTTCACTAACGTAATTCCCTCGCTAGACAGCGTTGGCTACAGGAATCATTAGGCTCAACAGCCGTCGCACTAGATAGCTGCATGCGCAATTAAAACCTGACGCATAAAAAACGCCTTTATCAGAATTTAAGGCGAATTGTGTTATGGTTATGAGATATGCGGAAGCCATATTGCGGAGTGATGAGGAGTGGATGATGTTATATTTAGTGAGTGACAGTGAATAGACTCATACAATATTAAGCTGTAGGAATATGGACAGAAAGGATAAGACTAAACCTGTGTCCATTTATCGTGAGTACATCTATGAAACTATACACATGATCGCCCAACCAGTACACTAGTGATGTATGCTGTAGCCTTGACTTCTTCGTTGTCTCATCACAACAAGATGGCGTAATAAAATTAAGGTAGAGAGCCCGTGTGCGAAAGATGTGTCCATAATTGATGGGAAGTCATCGATTTTAAATATGCTTGAGGTTATTTTAGACTTCCACTCGGTTGCGATTTTTCTAGGCTATCCCAGGTATGCAGAGCATATTGAATGATGACACCGGCACCACTGAAAGGTGATAAATTCGTCTTTGTCGGCTTAACCGTGGGTTACAAACTATATCTATTATTTTCTCCCTGAAATCATTCTATATATTTTTGATTTTAGGTTAAAATCTGGAATTTAAACTGTACTTGGTTGCACCTGCATTCTAGTGCTTGTAATATTAGCGCTCATCATGTTTTTATGTTTGCGTGTACATGTGTTTATTGTCCTATAAAGTCTATGACTATATAAGGACATGTAGGTCCTTTCTGCCTACAGGCCGGGAGTATCTTTGCTTCGGGTAGTGTACTCCCTCCTGTGCCTCCTTCATGACTTATTTGCAGCAGTAATACCTCAACAGGTCTTCATTCCATTACACACTAAATGGAGCCATTATACCGTCATCTCCCCTTTCCAGCCAATTAAACGATGGCGATTTATGGGCGTATAGCTGCAGGGAAAAGTCTCATAAACCACTGGGCACGGAGCTCTCCTGATAAGAGGAGGCCGACTAGCTGGGTACAGCAGACCCGCACACTCTTAAGGATCTCTCTGAACCTTCCTAGCCTCCTCCTTACTCCTCCCCTGATTTTTGCCGCAGGACAAACCGAAAGTTGTGTAAGGATATCAGAAAAGTCTTGGTCAATAGTGAATGACGTGGTGGAGCGTAGCCTAGCACCTAAAAGTCGTTCAAAACGTGGGATTGTCGAGTAACTCATAGAATTCAAAAGCCCTCCTGGCTAGTAGATTCAAGAATGTAGATTACAAGAGACGATATTGTAGATGAGTTGAAATCTGCTTTTGTTGAGGACGGAAGAGCCTTTCACTTTGCTTTCGTACCTCTTTGTAAGAACACTAGTAGGTAGCACATGCTGTGATGTAACGAGGGCTTCTCTAACTACCGTTGTAGTGTTTGGTACCACAATATCTTTCTTCATACCCAGCATCATTATCGTCGACTTACGATTTATCGGAGTCCTATCAGTGCCGGGGGGTATATTATTCAGCTCATATTTATAAAGTTGTTACTAGATCTCGGCTCTGCAGAATCTACTCTGAGAGCTGGACGTTGCTGGGCGACACCTCTTGCAGGTGTTATGTTTCTTCCCCCTAAGCGAGACAGGAGGCATATAAGTATTTAGTAGCAGATTGGAAATCTCTCTTTCCATGTATTCTCAAAAATAAAACAGAAACGCCCCGATCCCAATATCTTTTATTTCTTACTATCCCTGCGGTAAGGACTTGACCGCCAACTTTCACACCTATCATTACAAGATATCTCGGGAGCTTCATCGAATGCTGATCAGAATAAAACTCAGATCAAATTGAGTAATCAACCACGAGTCATTCAATCCATGCATTCGACCGTGAAAGAGATTGGATGTGACCTAAGCCGATGAAGTATTTAGAGATTGATGGTACTAAGGGTGAGAAGAGTGTTGGAAAAGAAGTTGAAGGACGAATGGAGCTTTTGGGGAAGCATTATGGCTTCAGCAAGAGTACTTCAAGCAAAGCCGGCTTTCTCGGTCCATGAACATTAATTCGGCCAAGGGTGAATATCCCTCTTGTGCTCGACCTAATTATGGTCTAGCCAAGACTTCCTCAAGGATCCGGTGTAAATCGAATTGGTTAAATGATTAAAAGGATCCACACGTTCAGGCCTAGGAGCTGCCAATCTTAATTTGGCAGCGTCGTAAAGCAAAAAGAGAGCAGGGCTAGAAATATAAGTACCTAAAATAGGCGTCGTGCAGCCGATACGAAAGTCGAAATACTATCAATTGATAAGCTTCATTAAGTCTAACAATCATGCGCTTCTCTTGCTTAGCAGTCGTCCTTCAAAGCGCCAGTATCTTCGTGACGACTCTTGGCGCTCACACGACGAGACACATTGATGAGAAATCTAAGGCATTCGATTGTGGTGAACAGGTATTGAAGCAAGAAAATTATGCAGGGCTAGAAAAATCGGAAATAACGAAAGAGAATAATCCTCTCTTCTGGACTTTGAGGAACGGATTCAGAAGAGCGATGGAAGATACGATTGACGAGAGAATCGTTTTGTATGGTGACAGCGAGCACAAAAAGTTGAAATTTTTCAAATTGAATGCATTATCGAAAGGTACATTGTCTTTTGCGTTTCAGAGGTTCCTAGCTGAAAACACGTATCAGGCTACAACGAAAATAAGAACAGAATATACGAGAGCTACTACCTCATTCTAGATGAAAGTAATTGTGTGAGTGGTATAATAAAGAGGAAATATGAAACTCGTCTCGAATGGAATTGGACAGAAATACCACTAGAAACTTTCTGGATGTGCAAAGTTGGCTGATGAGATACTCAAGACCTCTTGGTGTGACAAAGCGAGGTGGGGATTATTTGCGAATTGAAAATCTTGTCCAATGCGAGCATCCATATCGCCAAAGTAGCTTTATCATCAGCGAGGTACGCTGCGTCAGAATAATTAATCTAGATTTGGCATTAACATGATACTAGAGTCTTTGACTATCGAGGGCACTGTGCTCCTCCCCTCTGGTGTTGTGAGGATATACTCCCGATAGAATGCCAAGAATAATATAAATTTAGCTTTGTAATTACCCGTAACAGTCAACGTTTTTTAATAGTAGAATCATTTATCAATAAATATTAAAAACGACCAAAAGTCCTGCCCCGCCAACCATGTAAAGTGCTTATATCCATCTGCATCTCTCTTTCTGTAACATGATAGGACGACTTGGTCCAATCTACCATGGCCATGAATGGCTATTCATGAGGGGTAATATACCAATTATCTTTGAAGTAACAAATGAGGCAAGGATGCCGTAAAAGGAATGGCTTTGGTCAGAGAAGAGCTAAATGTGCTAGATAGTCATAGACTCAAGTAGTACTATGATTACACTTCTCTCTACCAGAGTCGTTTTGAGTGCTGAGTATGCTCCGAAAATTCATTGGATGGCTTCTGATCGATAACCAAGGGTAGGTGATGAGTGAGGCTTTGACAGCCATCTGATCGATTCGTGGCTAGCTTCATGATAATGGTGTTATGAGGTTGTGCTGAGAGATGAAAATGGTGCAGACCGCGAAATCAATTTGGAATCCTCATCGAAGTATGGAATGGAATGGATATTTATTCGTGACGGGAACAAGCCTGTTATCATGATGCGAACTCGCTAAGTGTCACGGTTGGAGTATTGATGCTGGAGCGATCAAATATACAAAGGTAGTATACAATTCTCTCTATCGCTAGCTATGAAAGTACCTTTTCAACCAATTAAACATTTATTAAATTGTCCAGGATATTCGGTCGTGGCTACTATCAGCTTCTCGCGTGTTCCACTTGAAGTATTTCCCATTATTGCTACCCATTAGTGGAATCTTCCTGTTGCGACTGGACCGATCTGGAATAAAGCGTAGAGTTTGAATTTCAAATCTTGAAAGTGAGAGAAAGGATCCAACATATTTTTAGACGTGACACGGGTAGATGGGTCCTGAGGGCTCACTACTATCTAGACGATCGGCTGTTAAGTTAAAAGCGACAAAATAGAAGGACGGTACATGTCTGAGTTGGGCTTCCCTGTGCCGCATCCCTATCTGCCAAACACATCTCCTCTCGAGTTAGAAACAGTCTCAGCAGGGTCACCTCCCACCCCGTTCATTCTTCGGCAGATTGTGACATCTGCTTGTAGTTCGGAATTGGATGGACTTCTGCCATCCCTTCTGCCCTATCATTTCCCTGGCCCCACGTGGCGCCATATTCTCACAGCTCCTCCAACGCTGGAAAGCAGTTCAGCACTCTGAAAAATGCCAGGCCCATGTTTTCCGCCTGCAAACGCACCTCAGATCTTCATGTTCCGGGTTGAGCCGCCGTTGGTAGTCGGCGTAATCACCGGGGCTTGTTCGGTTAGAGTTAGACTCTATTCCCATGGTGTCTAAACTGTGATTATTAGACTGCAGGTTTCCGCCGCTGATCATACATCTGTGGGCAAATTACACTATAGGATATGTGCACGGTAATGAAGGCTGGAAAACTTAATACAGAACTGACGGACATGGTAGAACATAGTTTCGGACTTGCGCATAATATTGGAGGCAGGTCACAACTCTGTATCAAACACATATCTCATGGGATATAGTGTCATAGGCTAGAGCCTAGCACGACTCAGGCAGAAGCCTAAGTCATCTGAATATTGAAGAATGTTGAAAAGAAGCACCCTATAATATAATTATCACCGACAGAGTACTATGTGCAAGGGAAGCAAGAAGGTAGGTTCAATAGGGTTTGATTAACTAGCCTTAGATTCTAATGGGAGTAAGTCTTCTATAAGTACCACACTCAATCTCGCTCCCACACAATCAACATGGCTAGCCTGATACAGCATCTAGAGTATGTTATTCCTGCTACGCACTGACACATTTACAATAAGGGATTAATTTGAGATAGGGCTGAAGGATGATTGGAGTCCCAAACATCCTGCATCATAATGTTTGAATGGTCGGATGGTTAAGTGGTGATAGAGCTAGCTCGAGTGGATTGCAGAGAAGCCGAGCAACTAGGCACCATGGCAAGGGATACCCCCCACGTCCTGTTTATCATATTATTCATTTTACTTTCATAACTCGAAACCTTGACATAAAGCCAGATCATTCATATAGTGGGTTCCCCCAGTTGATTTCCTCTCCCGCTTAAGATCCTCTTTTGTACCTTGATCTAGATAGTTCGTGAATAACATCTATCTTACGACCCTTAAATATAGGTGTCCTATCTTTGACTTTGGCAATATCTGTAAAAGAAGGCATTTACATGTACATATTAGAGCAGACTTCACTGGAGGGCATTTCTATAATAAATATAGATAATAAACATGCTTGATAATGACCTTTACATTATTTACATCCAACTGCAATCGCAGCTACATCATAATCGACCAACAGACCATATTCATAATATGTCTGGATAGCTTGGCTGTCCAGAAGAATATAGATCGGTAAGCCTTCGCCAACCGCTATTGCAGCCTCTAAGTATTTCACAGCACCTACAACTTCTGCGTCAACCACCTCTGCCCCGGAAAGTGGACAGTAACCAGTTCCCGCTAGCTTACCTCTGTGGTAGACTATAGATCCCCAGGCAAATTGTCCGGATCCCAATGAAGATCTACCAGAGAAGGCACAGACTATCTGAGCTGGTAGGGAATCTGACCATAATTTGATGCTTCCTCATCTAACTTCTTTTTCTCGACTACATGAGGTCGATGACGGGGCACCATTAGGAAAGTAAAGGCTTCCAAGGCCTTCAGCTGTCGGAACTTGTTGCACGCTCATTTGCAGGCTTGTCATATATTGTTCTGGCTGTCTGAACAAGCGATCTCGTCATCCAGATCGAAGGGAGAGAGAGAGAGAGAGATGTATGTTTACACTACTTGAGTCATGGACTATCTAGCACATTGAGCTCCTCTCTGATGGTCGGTAATACACAAAGTAATACAAATTAGGTGCCGTCACGAAGTCGGTGAATAAAGTAAATTAACTGGTGTCTCGAAATAAATGTGACGTTGCGTTGGGAATATCGCGCAATGAAATGGGCGCAATATTGTTGTGATCTAGGAATAGCTCAGAATTGTTTATGCATACCTGCATAAATGTTATGCTATGGCGCTTAATAAGTGTAAGCAGACTTATGCCTGCATAAGTCTGGATCCAGTCCAAAAGCGAAAACACGATCTGCGTGCAGGCATGTCAGACTAGTAATGATGATCAGGGGCATCAATAGGGTAGAACTAGATATTATAGTGCTACGATGGACTCGTAGCACGGAGACAATTAATCGATTCATTCTTGTATTCGCTTTCATCTTTTGACGATTCACGTGACATTCACACGAAGACCTCTCTAAGTTTTACCACAGGGATGTTATTGTAGACTGCTGGACAAACAGGAATAGCCGCGCTATGATTGGTGGGATTAGTATGGTGTGAACCTGCAAGGGTGATAGGAGAGTAATTTAGGTGTGGTCCGAAGTACATGGGGTCGGGAGCACACAACCATCTTCTGTCTGTACATCTTTCTATCTTTCAGCACATAATAAAGTGCGTAGCATCTTTACTAGTATCTACAATCAACTATCTACAAGCGCAGTATTTATAGACCATACTCCATTTACATACGAGTAGCAGAGTCAGTATTGAACCCCTAGGTAACCTCATCTCATAATAAATATTTATGGAACGAAAGTAGAAGTTGACTAAAAGAGTGTCATGTTCGGATTACAGCTAAAAGTGTGGCAAGTGCTGTATAATTGAGAAGTCGTCAAATGGAGATATGGATGTGTTTGATTTCGACTTCGATTCGGATGCGATTCTTCTTGGCTATCCCATACACACAGAGCATACTGAGCGATTACACCGACACCAAAAGTAGATATTACAGTCTACCGAAGAATTAACAGGGTCGGAGGTCACCATGCTGAGACTGTTTCTAGCTCGAGAGGAGACGTGTTTGGAAGAAAATATCTCGTTGCAGGGCACCGCAATGCATACATCTACTTCACGAGTATCTTTCCTCTTGTCGCTTCTAGCTTAATTGCCGATCGTGAAGGTAGCAATGAGCTTCTAGGGCTCTTCCACCCGTGTCACGACTAAAGTGAGAATGGATCCTTCCTATCACATCCATCAATTCAAATTCTAATTCATATACTGTCGGAAAGTTGTTCCATTTGCTTTGCAAAAAGCGTCGTGAGTCACTCTGTCGCTGAGTCATTAACTTGATGACCCAGCCAATACCACGAACTACACGTTCGCAAAGTTCTTGGATAGAGAGAAGACATAATACATGGGCTCCTCTAAGTGTATGATCGAATGAAGACTTGTGAGTGGCGGTACTGTTTAAGAGGAGCTGTATGGGAGGCATAGGAGGGGATATACTACTGGTATAGGTATCCTTGGCCTGTAGTCAGAGAGGACCTGCATGTCCAACAGAGTCGTAGACTCAGACAGGACAATAAAATGAATTAATAAAAGACATAATACATACCTCACTTTCGTACCTTTCGTTTTGCATTGAACCAATCTTACGTATACGTAAATTAAGGCCAATTGACATATACACAGTATACCCTAATCTTCACCCATATGTTGAAGTCTAACAAGTCCGTCTGACCAATGAACTCGTTTGCGCGCAACATAATTAATTCCTTCTCGACGTCGGATTCCATGCTATGCGCATGTGCTTTTGCTATTATCTGATTCTTTATTTATACTTCCTTTCAGATCTGAAATGTCTTCACCCACAAAAGTACCCTTTGAATTCCTAAAGTGCCCAAAATAGCTGCTCACAGGGTCTAATCTCCTTCAACCTATGAAAGTTCTAAGGGGGTATCTAGAATGATAGAAGTAAACGTTGACCGTCAAGTCAATACTGTACGAATCGTAAGATATTGGGGATATAAGGATTAGAGATAAAAGGTTAGGATCAGCGAGGTTTTTGGTTTTACTGAACTTATGTTTAGTTAGCTAAAAATGTTAGAGTTAAATCTACATCTTATTATCTATATTTGTTCTACCTCGCTTAGGTAGAAACATTATGTTCTGATTACGTGATGGAAAAACATTCCCACCACCGAGATCATTACCAACCGAGACCTCAATAGAGCTGGTAGCGATCCAAGAGGAGTAGTCTTCGTCTACTCCGCACTACGTGCAGTTCGGTCTAGCTTGTCTAGATTTCAACAAGTGATTCCGCAGTAAAAACAGGTTGTCTGTTACGGGTAATTACATAGCTAAATTTAAAGCCATCTTTGGCATTCTATCGAGGGTATATCCCCACAACAGCAGAGGGGAGGATCACACTGTCCTCAATAGTCATAGACTCTAGTAGCATGTTAATACCAAACCAAGATTAATTATTCTGACGCGGCGTACCTCGCTAATGATCAAGTTGCTTTGGCGATATGATTGCTCGCATAAGACGAGCTTTTGAATTTGCAAATAATCCCCATCTCGCTTTGTCACACCGAGAGGTCTTGAGTATCTCCTGAGCCAACTTTGCACATCCAGAATTTTTCTCGTGGTGGGTTTTGCCAAATCGATCCGAGGTAAATTTCATATTTCCTCTCTATTATACCACTCACACGATTACTTTGATCGAGAATGAGGTAGTATCTCTTGTATACAATATAATTATCTTCCTCGTAGTCTTGTGCGCATTTTCAGCTGGGAACCTTTGAAGCGCAAAATTAATCGTACCTTTCGATAATGCATTCAATTTGAAAAATTTCAACTTTTTGTGCTCGCTGTCACCATACAAAACGATTCTCTCGTCAATCGTATCCTCCATCGCTCTTCTGAATCCTTCCCTCAAGTTCCAGGAGAGGGGAATCTCCATTGGCGTTATTTCCGATTTTTCTAGCCCTGCATAATTTTCTTGCTTCAATACCTGTTCGCCACAATCGAATGCCTTAGATTTCTCATCAATGTGTCTCGTCGTGTGAGCGCCAAGAGTCGTCACGAAGATACTGGCGCTTTGAAGGACGACTGCTAAGCAAGAGAAGCGCATGATTGTTAGACTTAATGAAGCTTATCAATTGATAGTATTTCGACTTTCGTATCGGCTGCACGACGCCTATTTTAGGTACTTATATTTCTAGCCCTGCTCTCTTTTTGCTTTACGACGCTGCCAAATTAAGATTGGCAGCTCCTAGGCCTGAACGTGTGGATCCTTTTAATCATTTAACCAATTCGATTTACACCGGATCCTTGAGGAAGTCTTGGCTAGACCATAATTAGGTCGAGCACAAGAGGGATATTCACCCTTGGCCGAATTAATGTTCATGGACCGAGAAAGCCGGCTTTGCTTGAAGTACTCTTGCTGAAGCCATAATGCTTCCCCAAAAGCTCCATTCGTCCTTCAACTTCTTTTCCAACACTCTTCTCACCCTTAGTACCATCAATCTCTAAATACTTCATCGGCTTAGGTCACATCCAATCTCTTTCACGGTCGAATGCATGGATTGAATGACTCGTGGTTGATTACTCAATTTGATCTGAGTTTTATTCTGATCAGCATTCGATGAAGCTCCCGAGATATCTTGTAATGATAGGTGTGAAAGTTGGCGGTCAAGTCCTTACCGCAGGGATAGTAAGAAATAAAAGATATTGGGATCGGGGCGTTTCTGTTTTATTTTTGAGAATACATGGAAAGAGAGATTTCCAATCTGCTACTAAATACTTTTATGCCTTCTGTCTCGCTTAGGGGGAAGAAACATAACACCTGCAAGTGGTGTCGCCCAGCAACGTCCATCTCTCAGAGTAGATTCTGCAGAGCCGAGATCTAGTAACACCTTTATAAATATGAGTTAAATAATATACCCCCCGCACTGATAGGCCTATCATAAAACGTAATACGACGATTGACATGCTGGGAAAGTCACAGTAGTAGGATGGTACTTGATGTGGCTAGCGTTAAGCGGTAACTGAACCTCTAGAATTTCTTTTTTTAAATTCATGTTGTATTCAGCTAAAAAGCTATGACAAACCTCTAGACCTTCGTGTAGCTAGATAGTCTGATCCCTTCTCATTACACAACTCATTTCTTATACTTTACTACGCGCCTCGCATCTATGCCCTATGACATTTTGTGCGATCTATTCTTAAACCCGGTTGCTACTCTCGTCCTTAATATTTTCGTTTTCTTTCAGCATGTAGCAAAAATTTATCCCCTGAATCCCGCCTGCTTCGCGACCCGTTGAATATATTCAAGTATCATTTTTTCGTATAACCTTGGCAAAGGTTCCTTAGATCCAGTCTCCGACCAGAAAATCTTTAGGGTTATTTTGCGCACTCTGCTACCTGCCTTACATAAAAAATAAAATATGGCCCCCCTGTTGCAAAATTTCAAGATGACTACTACAAATACCGAATTTGGTCATAGAACGAGCAAATCTTTTACTTCATGTTTCCCGAATTTGTTTGCAGTTCTCACTGGGTACGAATTTATTCACAATCTTGCATGCAGGCCCTTTTCGCCCTCAAAACTAGCAGAAATCTTGAATGTACTCCCAAATCCCAACTGGATGACGATGTAAAGGCAATTTTCGCCATGCTTCTTGCATTCGAACACGAATTTGAGAAGCTTGGCCTGAAAGCAAGTGGAAATGTGTACGGATTAGGTCCTGGTCAACGATGTCTAGCCTAACTGTGCTATGTTGCAGGATACTGTTACAATTATTCATGAGGTCATCATCAAGGTTATGAGTAGTTTCGGTTTTGGTGTGGGTTGTTAGATTGATACCTGAGCGTGTCGCATAGTAGTCAGATATGCGACTCGAGCAGCATATGCACAGTAAACCTCAACCCCAAACTGATGATACGAATCAAGTTTTATATGCTACGTCCTGTATGGCTAGCGTGGTTGGAATATGGGGAATTTACCTGTAGATAGATAAAGACGTTGTAGCCCTCTGATAGTTGGGAGAAGTCTTCTACAATATTATATCGGAATCATTACTAGCCTCTCATTAAGCAATCTTATGAATTATTTCCAATGTCTGTGATAATAGACATACATATACAATGTCGACAACAAGTTTAAAGTCGATAAAAATGAGGTGGCATATAATGAAGAGCGCTCGCAGAATGTTTGGTCACGTGATGCCTGTGTAACTGCAGAAAACGAAAAAGATGATACTCTCGCCTAACTCAAAACAGAAAGAGCTACATTGTCTAGTACTCCTGTTGAGCTTTCAAATTCTCTGGGAAAGAAACTTGTAGCGGAAACTCAGCTCCAACTTGCTTTGCTTCAAAATGCCCAAAGCCGTGCCACAGGAGAAGGAATAGCTGCCCAAACTCCAGCTGCCTGCCGAGCTTAGAAAGGTTCAGATAAATTCACGGCATCAAGCAAAGAGAAGAATCCTGTCCAGCGCCAAGAGAAAAACGAGACATTCAAGATCCAAGTACAAGGAATAATCTCTATTGACTCTGCATGTTTCCTCACTGAAGACTCAAAAATATTGTATATATGTGGCTTAGTGGATGATCATGCTTGGGATGCAGTTTGTGATGGCCACAACTCTATTACTGCTAATTTGAATGATCCCTCGCAATGGCAGTGGCAGAATGAGAATGAGCACTGGACCGATCTTGATAGCCAATATATCCTATTTAATTCTGCAACGCTTGCAAGAAATGTTGGAAATATCGCGCAATGTAATGGGCGCAATATTCATTGAACGAAAGTAGAAGTTGATTAAAAGAGTGTCATGTTCGGATTACAGCTGAAAGTGTGTGAAGTGTGCGCTACAAGCACAAGTGTAAGCGACACAGAGCCTAAGACACAGCATAAACGAGTGTGGCGCCATCCAGGCATAGCAAACCCCCAATAACCTCCTTGTGCCCACGCCATACAGCCACTTATATATCCAGTAGTTAGCCTTAAGCGCTACCATATTACCTACTCCAACCTCTTAAATACACACGAGATCGTGTCGGGAACCTGGACGAAATGGAGGGCCCATACGTCCACAACACTCCGTGTCTCCATTTCCAACAAGAAATACGCCGGATAATTATTCCCAAGACAGCCCGAGAAACGGCACTACACCATAAGGTGAATGGAAAGCTGAGTTTATTAGGCTTTCTAACCGCGCAAAGTTAGGTCCATGGGAAAAATTCGATAAATGGCGTTGATTTATTGGTGTTGATATCAAAAAGATACTTCGGTCACAGGTAGACAATCCGAAAGATGATGATTTTGTTAGATGGGTCGCTAGATGTGATAATATCGCTCTCAATCAGCTTCAGGAGGCTCACTTTGATTCTATAAATCATTCAAGCAGCATAAGTAGGAATTAGAAATCAAACGAGCCAGCGCAATCCCCACCAGATGTACGAAATGCTGCTTACAGATCCCATCCTCACGATGACCCCATGGACGTTAGCCGGATGCAGGTTTCTGATAGTGAAAGGCAGCGCCGGCGTATCCAGGGGCTCTGTCTAGCCTGTGATCAGAGCGGCCATATTGCCCGAGACCATCATCGGAAATTCGACTCAATCCCGATGCCAAAACTTGCCAATATCACGTCAGCCTATAATAGGCAAAATTGGCAAGATATAGAGAATCGCTCGAGCTCCCGACCTCAGAAAATTAATTCATGCAGTCATTTTTGTTAAAGGAATATACTGGCTCAACTAATTTCTATTGAGGGCTCGGGGAGCTCCGCTACATATATACTACAATAGTGGGTCTAATAATTATAAAGGACACATGTTAATACTGATTACTAGGATTAGCCCTGTATTTCAGCACTCCCCTAAAACTCACAAATAGCCAATAGTGAAGCTATTCAGAGGTTTGAGATCACGCTTGAAATTCCAACTGCTCGTCGATTGGCTTCAAATTTAGCCCTGTCCAATGCCTTTGTCATTCCGTCGGCTAATTGCCGCTCCCCTGGTACCCACCGTATTAGAATCGTACCTTTCTTCACTTCGTCGAGGATATGATAGTACGCAATATCAATGTGCTTGATTTTTGAAGTGTTTGATACTCCTGACGCTAGTTGAATCGCTGATTTGTTGTCACCCAACAACATCGGCGCGGTGCTACCAGCGCAGTCTTTGCCTTCAATTTCTGCGACCAGTCTCTCAACCAGATCACCTTCTTGGCCGCCTCACTACCTCCAACATACTCAGCCTCAGTTGTTGATCTAGCTACAGAATGCAATTTTCTACTCGAGGAGTGGACTTTACCTCCGTTTAGCATCAAAACACACCCAAGTATACTTTTTCTATCCCGTTGGTCATCAGCTGTTAGGCAAAGTTATAGTAATATAAATCTCTCTCAGAGTTGATTGAATTGATTGTCCTCTACCATGAGGAATCTATCTAGGTACTATATACATCTTGAGTATCCTACTAATTCCAAATATAGACTGACTGTTATGGCCAGGCATCCTTGAAGAGGTTTCAAGGGGAAGGTTCTCAGGAAAAAGTGATAGGAGAAGGTTTTGAGAAAGGTTTTGGGAAAAGGTTTATTGAGAAGGTTTCCGAGAAAACTCCTACAGTTAGAGATGGAGGGGCTGGCGTCATGACGGCATTTGTCATAGTCTTAGTTGAGTTCAAGTACTGTCTCGAGTTAGACTTAAGGAAGCTGGAGCTGCCACATAGTAGCTCTCCAGCTTCTTAATCTTTCATTCTTTTGATCTTTGATCTCGCAATCTAGCATTTATATAATATTATAATCGTATATTCTCACAGTCCGATATTCTCAGTCCTTCGTTATTCGTTACATTCTTCGTACTTCTGTTCACTCTGAGTTATCAGCCTTGATCGCCTGCTCGTCAACTCGACTTCTTGTTGCGATTTTATAGTAAGAGGTGTGATGGGCGATCAACAAAACAATATTGTAAAGGAATGGTGGCCGATTACTGTCTATTTTCTACATACATCTCGGAACTGTCCACCGAGGGGATGCTACTTAAGGTGTCCCAACTCCCAATGCGCTAACCTCACTATCTATTCTACTACATCATATCCTTGATATTCCGAGTGGGCTCGTCATAG